GTATGCTTCGGATTACATATTAAGCACTACTAAAGGTGCAGCTTGTCGAGTTCCCGGAAGCTGTGGATCGAGTTGCCCAACTTTCAGCTTGTAAATGCTAGAAAGAACTCTGAAGCGAGACTTGCATCATCACCTTGACGATCTCTAAGGCTTTCTCCCACGCATCATGACTTCAGCGGGCACCTTCATGGATCTCCAACCTACTTGTTGCCGGAGAAAGATAGGCTAGCATATTAGATGCCGTCAATAACCTGGACATTGTCATCTTGTGCTTAAGGGAAGGCAACTGAGAGTGCCACATGAACGGCTTCTTTATAAACTGCGAAAAGTTAAGGTTTCTGTAAAGATTTGCTTATGGAGCCTTGCTTTTAAGGATGACCGTAATATGCCTGTGAGTTCGAGTGATACATACACCGCCGCCGTTCCCACGATCAATGGGGGTATAGGGATCTGTCCTTCGCGCTGAGCTGTTCAGAGTCCTCAAAGATGACCTTCGTTTGAACACCAAGCTGATTGTCCGCTTTATGTCGATCACCTGAAGATACGCATGGGGGTAACCAAACTTGCTGATGCTGACAAGGTACAAGTAAAGCATCACCAGCTGCATCGTGGGTCATTATAATGGTGCTTACCCATCAAACATGAAAAGTGCCTCGCGCCGCTAGTGGGTGGTTCTTAACCAGCTATTATGTTTCACTTAGGTTGCTCATTGCTCAGGAATGCCGCCTGTTAAAGGATCAGAGCATACCGTTGTCCCCCATCTGCGTAATACCCAGAACCTTCTGAAGTTGGCGGCTGTACACATGGTTTGTGCTATTAGGAGACGGTTTTAACGAATTAATCCTTAGGCCTTCCGACTCCTTTTCACTTCCAGGTTTTTCCTATCCTCAAGTAAGTAAAGCTGCGGCCTATCCCTTTGCAATCTGAACGTGTTGCGACTAAGCGAGCCCAGCGACCGGATTGGAAGTCAATCTTAGCACACCGGAACTTACTTTACACTGAACGTCTTAAACAAAAGCTGGTTTTCTATGGACTGCCGTCGACGTAGTAGTGAGCCGATTTCCACCAGATGGAAATGGTGCGGCAAGATAGAGAGCAACCAGCGAGTTATTCCAGTTCTCAGCAGATAGCTCGATACGGTGTGACACGTGGAAACTGTGTAAGTCGAGGAACGTGTGGATCTACACCGGTCTCACTACTTTCCAATTGTGCTAACTGAGTGGTACAGGTTACTTGAGCAGCGTATTAGCAATCGAAGTAAGGGAATATTGGAAGGGCATTCGGAAGCTTATCCCCTACGTATGTGGATCTTGCTTATTTCGCAGCTAGCGTATTGGGCCCCAAAAGTGCACTGCCTCGCAACGTTTCATGTAGTCCTTGCTCTGACCAGGAGGTACTCGAGCTGCCGCAAGAAAACTCTGTCACTCCAATACAAATTTCAAAATGAATTAGGTATAAAAATGGTGATTTCCATGTTCGTTCCATCCTGAATGCGTCGATGATCCGCGTTTGAATTTAGTGCGCGGATGGGCAGTCTTATGAGTCAAGTCACCATGTGCAGAACTTCTCGTGCTTATCCAAACAAAACCGATGGGCCCTGCGCTAACAGACTTCGCTGTGCCGTCTACGTATGATAAGGAAAATATCCAAACTAGCAGTTTAGAAGGAAGTTTTGGAGAGTTGAAGAGGGATTTACTGAAAGTACTTAAATAACACAAGAACTAAAGTACCATTAGAAAAACTTAAGACAAGTGATGATTCGAGGCTGCAAGTTGGGGGTTCCAAGGTGACGCTTAAACACTGCCACCGTGATTGATAATTCAACGTCCTTCGATAGCACATTTCAGAAATCCATCATTCTAGTTGACAAAAGTGTGTCAGCCCGATCCCGCTCAGTTGAGAGTTGGTACGACTAACGGTTACTCAAGAGGAGTAGAAAATTAAACACGATCAATAAGCTAGGATGGGTCTAAGCCAATCCGTTCTGTTAATATGCGTTAAGCGATAAAGCCCCGGAAATGCGGCAAACTGCAGCGGAAGGACCCTTCTCTTGAGTAGCCTGTCAAAATTGAACAGATGCCGCAACATTCGGACCAATTTCTTCCCATTTCTCAAGTTCCTGTCTACCGCCCCTCTGTCACGAGTCAGACATGCATGACAAGCCCGGACGCAGAACTTCAAATTAGGTCTAGCCGAAGCTGTAAACAAGTCAGTAAACATTTCTTTCAGCAGCATTCTACAGATCAATCAGGGGTTCGGCGACCCTTACAACTGCTTGTTTCAGTTCTCACTAGGGTTACAGGTCGGAGGCAGTGAGACATCTAAGTCAACCAGTTGAACTTCATGAGATACTTCGTTCCCGCCGGGCCTGCAATGCGTGGTCAAGAGATTTGATCCTACGCGCATAACTGAAGCCAACATAGTTTATTAGCATCTGACGCATAACGGACTCATCAAGACGGTTGTCAGTAAGTTGTTATAACCATTGAGAGTCACCACATAGCTCACCGTGCAACAGAAGTTGGTCGTCCGCGAACCAGAGGCCAGGCACCACCGCTCCTCTGACAGTTCGTCAACATACCCAGCAAACAGCAGCGGACAAAGCATTGAACTCTGGGAAGCTACTCAGCACAGTCAATCAGAAAAATGGACTGAACCTACTCGAGCACATATTTCACTACCTTGGAGAAACGCTGATAAACATTTGAGCTGGTGCTGGAAACACGGAAGGAAGTTAGCCCAAAGGAGAGATGATAATGTGGAACGCAGCCATCAGGCATTGGATATGTCAACGAACAGTATGTCAACCGCCTAAATTGGTCGACTGGTTCCGTCCAGCTATCTTAAGCAACCAGCAGTGCAATCAGGCAGTAATAGACGGCAAAAGGAAGGGCAGTTCATTTAGCAACTTATAAATAAATAAATATTTGTTCTTGACAAAGCGAGGCACTTTTTAAAGGCATGATCAAAATAGTGCATTTTTACCTAACAGTATAATGAGCGTCTTAGAGCAGGAATAATAAAAAGGTATTCAGTTGGGTAGGCAATCGTGGCCGAAATGAACTTTGTCCTCGTAGAGTGAGAAGTGTAAAGATAAGCATCATAGTGATTAGTGGCGTGGAGTAGATCGGTGAGGAACCGGTCTCGATTTTGTGTATAAAGTGCGGGTCGGGTGAGTAAAATATGTGCACCAAGCTGTAAAATTGTTTTAAGAATAGTGGCATGTCATTGATTACATGTAGGTGTGTACGTATGAGAGCGGATTTATACGCAGCACATGTAAAATATTGTAGCGGTCAACTTGCCAATAGGTGATAGGGGGCAGTGAATTTATTGAGTGCCGAGTCACATCCACCACAACGCCGTGTTGTTATACAGCCGGTTGTAGTAGCTTTTGGGTGAACGATTGCTAGGCAAATGCTTCTGATGAATGGTACAGATATCAGTGGCTTTGATAGGGTTTACTTACATCATGGGCTTCTGATGCGGATATACCAGTAAACCTGTACTCCTTCAACCGGAACTTGCCCTTCTAAATAGGTATTTGGAAACGGGGGCCCAAGGAAAAGCTTCCCCGCTTGCACGTACCCGCGAAGACAGGCCATCAAGTAATCTCTGTGCACGGCAACCCACCTGGTCAGTTAAACCCCGGGATAGATGAATTAGCACGATTTCCTATTCCGCAACAAGTAAAAACCGCTCCGAGTTACATGAAGTTGTTCGTAAGTTTTGTTTCCTAAGCAATCGAGATTCCCTTGGAAGCTGCCTGTATGTGTTACGTGTTGTTCGACAACAACGCAAGGGACCGCCTGATTAAGTCAAAAGGTAACTTCGCCAACAATTGGACCCTCTCTTAAAAGTTACTATTGAAATGGTATAAAACGGTGGTGGCCTGGTGCATTTATTTTCCCTGCTGATGGAGAAATATAAAGGTCGACATCCAGGAAAGGATTGTTTAAAATATTTCCCATGCAAAAGTCTGTGTGAAATTTGTGATATTTATATGGAAATACTTGAGTCTGTCAAGCGCATGAAACCATTCTTCGAGCCTAGCACGGCCACAAGGACCGTGCACCCCGTCCCCTCCAGCGACGACCAACTGTCTCCTGCAGCCAGATCGACGAGGTAGTGGGTAATAGACAGGTAGGCACCTTGTCAACATACACATCAAGCGCAGCCACACCTGGGATATCAAACAACAGCTAATCACTCAAAATGCCGATATCGAATAAAGTATACGCATATGACGACATAAATACTCGCTAAATGAGCATATAGAAGAAATTGGTTATAAGTAAATCTGTGGTAAGTACAAAATGTCTGAGTTATTTAAAAAATACCACGCGATGCAATTACGCAAGTTTATCACAAATTGCATGAGCGACGTGTGCAAGTTGGGAGAAGATTATCAAGTACGCAGAACAAACCAAATAAAATGTAACGAATTTTATCCACATTAAAAGACCCAGTTTAAGTGTAAGTTGGTTTAGCCCAACTGCGGTGAAGAAGTATCATGAATGCAACATCAGCCTCAGCATGGGGCACAAAAAGAAAGTATATATATATATATATATATATATATATATATATATATATATATATATATATATATATATATATATATAAATATTATCCGGGTGGACGTTGAAGATAGTTGCATTCTGTCCAATCAATAAGAGCCCTTGTGCTAAGCTTCAACGATGCTTACTCCTAGCATTGAAACCCTATGATCTTTCATTCTCGAGCTAGTAAATCAAGCTAGATGAATGTTAATGACTTCATGACGATTGAATGAAATTCATGGTCAGTTGATTTAGTAAACAGTGCTTGTGAAGTCCACGAGACTAACTGGTTGGTGATAAGTTCGGAAGGGCAAGCTGCCAACTTCAAGATGCGAGATTCAAACAGGCTGTTAAAACCAAACCGAGACGAGGGATGCCACGAATAGAGACTTAACCAGGTTATGTGCGTGAGTGTGAACAACCGCCCGGCACGAAGATGCAGACACTATCCAACGAAGAAAACAGACGGTCTCCTGAAACATGGTGGATTCCATGAAAGTTTGCCACCGCCAGCTCGCAACAATACGCTATGCAACCGGCTCGATAATTACTTGACTCATCATGCAGAGGCAGCAGGATTTGGGGTCGAACCCGGGACTCTTGGGAGGTCACATGAATCCTCTACTCGTAAGCCACCGGATTGCGACGGCCAGTGGGCAATAAGTAATTGGAGGGATCAATTTGTGCTGCTTTTTGAACGGATTGAAGCCACTAGGACCGCAGATGAAGCAGACAAACGAATGCTTCAAAATGCCACCCCCCAGTATGGGATCAACGGCAGTTATAAACCATGTGAACAAAGTATTATGATGATAGCGTACGCAAATGATCTATCCCAGGAGCGAGGCAGCAATGAAGTGGACATAGAGAGGAAGACAGCATTTAGAGGACTTTTTAACTTTAAAAACTCTCAACGATGATAAACAGTGTGAAGTAACATAAGAAAAATGGTGCCTGCGAAAGGATTTTAACACCGAATTCCTGAATATTGTGGTGATTTGTGGGAAAGAGCATGGTCTCAATATTGTCTGTCGACACAGGCCGTCAACAGACGTATGAACAGGGGAGAGAAAGAGGAAGTAAACATTCATCTAGATGTCGGGCTGCTCATGCCGATTGTACGTACAGTTCTGGGGCGAAAAGTGCAATGATGAGGATGAGCGAAAAACACAGTCATATATCAACGGTTGAGATATTTTCTTTTCCAATGCCAGATATCACCAACCGATAAGGTGCGTACGCTCTTGAGAGGAGAAAAGATGTTGACTGATTTGGTTCCGATACATGCGTACCCTTCAACTTCGACATTCGATTGAGAGTAAGCAACGGAACGAATAAACCAAGGAGGAGTGACGTGCTACTTAAGAATTGTTTCATCGGTATGGATAGCATCAGGGGAGGAAGTGAAGAAATGTGACGCAAACATGAAGTTGGAAAATGCGTACGATGGAAATCCGGTGTGCTCTAGCTGGAAGTAAGTCTAGGTGCATGGTCCGGGAAGGTCCGCGAAGAGAGATCAAGGGTGGCGTCTGGTTTTAGTCAGCCTTTAAATTCAAACACACGATCTTCCGGGGCTCCCCATTGTTTCGCGATCCTGTACAGAGGTGAAAGGAAAGTGTGAGAGAAACAAAACATAGATAGGTCGAATATGTATGAATAAGTGTGAACGATGAGAAATTGCAGACAACAGAGGATGAGATTTTAACTAGACTGAAGGCAAGAACAGCACGATGCCTGGTAGAAATTGCTAATGTCATTGCGTAGGTTCATGGCTCATGCGAGGGTAAAATCCCTCAGTTCGATCAGTGACACAACATCCGCTTCAATAGGGCAAATGGATATCGGGAAGACTGGGTACGGTAGAAATAAACTTGAAGCCAGTAAGCAATGATCATAGCATTGTAGTTGAATGAAGACGGTGAACAGTCGAAAGTAAAACGCCAGGTATGACAAACATATTAACCAAGCGAATTACGTAATATTGTCAGTCACATTGTGAAGAGTCGAAGGTCCGAATCGATTTTTGATCAGCAGAAAAAATGTGAGGCGGTTTGTCGCAGCCAGCTCGCACGTAGACAGCCCCGCACAAATCCGAGAAAGGACTGGTAAACCGTTTCATCTACCGGGAGACTAACCCGTCTCCTGAATTTACGTGGGCGTCTTATACCACTATGCCAGGGAGTTGAATGACAAGTCTTCTGTAAAAATCCATCAAAACCTCTATCAGCCATCAACAACCGAAATTCGCTGGAGCAGTTCACGTGAGGCCATGACTAGCTTAGGCTTGCAAGGATACTTGCAGTTCTAGATGTCGACCATATTCTATATGCATGCGCAGAACACATGGCAGTGGAGGATGAGCCGAGTTATATTGCAGCTAGTGATTAGTTGGGGGTTAGTCTCTGATGGTTTAGGGACATCGGCCATTGCCTTCCGAACACACGAGTCGTGAACTGGACTCCCGAGCAGCCGTACGAATAGATACTGCTACGCAGTACGCAGTACTGACGAAAGGGCGTCAAGCCGTTTTCCGGATGTGCATAGGAACTGGTTGAAACAAATCTCCTCTATAACTACGCTGAGGTCCCTCACTACTTCTTAACAAAACAGTGGTTGACATTGATACGGCCATTGGTTGTTTCAAATCCACTCACTGCTATTCGGCCGGAAAGCCTGCTGTTTAGGAGTGTGTGTACCTATATGAGTATGTGTTCGTATGACAATCAATCAGTGACTGCCGTTGATTCACTTCGTACCGGAACTCGTTCTCGCGCTCATATGACTATCAGGGCAGACAGCTTTTAGATGCTGACATGTGCTGAGTAGAATGTACCGCTTCACGTTTGCTACTAAAGTTTTCCTACTACCATGCTGCTGTTCTGATTTCGCTTGGGTGTAACATATTGGCAACGAAGATTATCGGATTACTCATGGCAAAGCCGATTACGATATCCCTACGATGTTGGAATTCCCTTACTGAGAGACCTACTACCCAGCAATGGACACAGTGGAAAACTACTTTCATTAATTAGTTGCACTACTTTTGCTTCTTGGTTGCAACAACATGCTAGACGATGAAGCAAATGCAAACTACTACGCCACAACCTCGGTAATGAGCGCCAGTGACGTTTCCATAATTTGTAACTAAACATAAAAAAGAGACCTACGATCTGTGTTCTATTCCCTGGACCAACTTTGGGGGGAAAGCCACATATGTTCACAGCACGCTACAAATTCAACACTACGATACAATAATCGACAGTGTAAATGAGTTTATCGACTTCTTACTGCTCTTCCCGATTGTGCCTATGATCAGATTCTACCGAACCAGTTCGAAGAAGCGATGCTGTTACAGACGTTAATTGTGGGTGTTCTCAATGAGAAGGCAAGAGAGGGGCTACTATCCGAAGACGAAACGCTTCTGACTTGGGAAAAAGCCTGTGATATGGCCCGACAAAGTACAAACCTCGTTCAGGAACTAGCTGCGTTTTCTTCCTCCAATCAGTTAATCTCACAGGATGTAGACAGTCTCCTAGACTAACTGTGGTCAAACCGCAACTCAACTTGCGCACTGTGGAGAATTTCGTTGTAATCGCCGCGGTGAACGTCATTCATCTCCAACTGACTGTCAGCATTTCCATTCAGTGTGCAGATTTTGTGGTAAAAAAGGTCATATTCAGAAAGTATGTCTTTTCAAGCGGAAACCGTTTGCAACTGAGCAACATAAAGCTACAAACTGTATAACCGAGAACCTACACCAGAACTGGATCAATACCACAACTGCTTTTAATCGCAACATAACCACGGTAAAGCCTTTCATTGTGTCTGTCAAGGTAAACGGGCAACCTGTGGATTTTGGAATTGATACCGGTTCCGCAGTTACCCTGGTGCGACCGGATGCCTTACCACAACTCCCAAAGTTAGATCCATCAAACATACAATTGCGATCTTATACGGGACAGATGGTGAAGGTGCTGGGTACATTTATTGCACGCATCTCCTACCATAATTCCACGAACCATATGTATGTGTACGTTGCAGGAGGACCTGATCCAAACATACTTGGTCGTGACTAAAATAAACATCTTCCCAGCATCATGTCAAACGTCAATCTGGTGGAAACCCATGCACAGTTATCTGATATCTTGCATAAACATGCGGTTTTGTTCCTGAGTACAGAGAAGGTCTTCGGAAAAATTACGCCGCTGATCTAGTATGGAAAGCACAGGTGATACCGAGGTTTTGGGAAGCCAAATCTGTTCCCTACGCTCTTCGCGATAAAGTCGAGAGCGAGTTGTGTGGACTCCACCTGGAGGGTACAATTAAATCTGTTCAATATTCGGACTGGACAGCCCCTATGGAGCCAGTATTGAAGAGCGATGGTGTCATAAGAATTTGTGGGACTAGAAAGTTACGATCAATCAGGCATTACAGCTAGACAGATAACCGCTACCAAAGATTGAAGACATTTACGTTTCTCTCTCCTGTGGCGAGCTTTTTACCAAACTAGATCTGAGCCACGCCTACTAACAAACTGAACTTCACGAGGAATCACGTGCATACACTACCATTAGCATTCACCGTGGTTTGTTCCGATATACACGAATGCCATTTGGGATAAGCTCGGGCCCGGCTATCTTTCAGCGTAGTATTGACACATTGGTGAAGGACATACCAAACACATGGACATACTTAGATGACATCCTGGTTACTGGATGTACTAGCACGGAACACTTGCATAAATTGGAGGTCGTCCTCAAGCGATTATCAGACACCGGGTTGGGTTAAAAAAAAGGAAAAGTGCGAATTTCATGTGCCCAGTGTACATCACCTTGGGTGTCGGTCATCAAGAGAAAAATTGTGCCAATTAAAAGAAAAGACGAAAGCACTACTTGAAGCGCCAGCACTCAAGAATGTTCATGAACTGCGGTCATACTTGGGTGTCGTTACCTAATTTTCAAGGTTCATATCATGGGGAGCAATACATCTACACCTGCTTCATCAACGCCGCGTTGCTCGCGGATCTTAGAGCCATGGTGGTCAAAGCGTCAACCTTTGAACACTAGGCCTCGAGGTCCACCGCAGCTCAGGCTACCTCCATCTGATGAGTCCAAAGGAGGACGAAACCGGTTATGGGGTGTCAGGGTTGGGAGGAGCAACACCGAATCACGAATTCGGTCCTTGTGATCGTAATGACCGAGGTCTACTTCAAAGAGGACTGAGGTCTGAACAGAGATTGCAAGTCGCAATCCAACCACACAGCGGGTACACCAAATGCCACTTGGAATTCTTTACCGCCGTGCCAAGCTTTCCTCGCGGATCTTAGAGCCATAGTGGTCAAGGCGTTAAGCTAGGCCTAGAGGCCAACCCCAGCTCAGGTTATCTCCATCTGATGAGTCCAGAGGAGGACGAAACCGTTTATGGGGTGTCAGGGTTGGGAGGAGCAACACCGAACCATCAAGGATTAAAAAGCTTATGGCATCGACAGATGTTCATGTGCATAACGACACGCAAAAGCCTGTTATTCTCTCTTGTGATGCTTCACCATAAGGTTTGGAGCTGTTTTACTGCAGGAATTACCGGACGGCTACCAGCGACCCATTGTCAATGCCTCAAGAACACTGACAGCATCAGAACGAAATTATTCGCAGCTTGATCGAGAGGCCGCAGCTGTGATCTTTGGTACTACCCGATTATACCGATATTTACTTGGCCGACCCTTCGTGATCTATACGGATCATAAAACCACTTGTTTCCTTTCTTGGCCAAGAGAACGGGATTCAACAAATGGCTTCACCCAGAATGATTCGTTGGTCACTCAATCTATCTACATATAAATACAAAATCCAATACGTTCCCGACCGGTAAAATACCACAGCTGGTGTTCTTAGTCGACTTCTTTTACCAAAGATGCCGTCGGAGGAGTTTACTTCACAAGAGCATGTAAAGTCGGTTCAGCATCTCAATGATACCCCAGTCACGTTAACGGACATACGCCAGGAGACGGATAGAGACCTAATTTTATCGCTGGTGAAACGGTATGCTTAAGCCGGATGGCCAAATAACACCCAAAGAACTCATGCCATTCCGTAATAGGATGTTTGAGCTCAGCCTCCAGAACGGATGTTTACTAAGGGGCGCACGACTTATAGTCCCAAAAAGATTTCGGTCACGTATCCTGGATGAACTACATGATGCGCACCCAGGAGTGAACAGAATGAATTCACTAGCTCGCTTTTATGTCTATTGGCCCGAATTGGACGATGATATTGCAGCAAAGGTTGGAAGTTGAAGACCCTGTCAGGAAAACTGAAACGCCGTCCCCAAGCGTCAATGTAGCCTTAGAAGTGGCCAGAAACATCCTGGAGATGCATCCACGCAGACTTTTTCGGTCCTTTCGAGAGTCAGTTGGTTTTATTGGTCATTGACTCCCATACTAAATGGATTGAAGCAAACATTCTGGCCTCAGCAACTTTAGTTAGCACCATAACTAAACTGCGCACAACGTTCGCGACATATGGTTTCCCCGAAACACGCGTCTGACAATGGGCTAGCGTTTACAAGTGTGGATTTTTTTTAACTTCCTTCGCTCGA